TTATCCTGACTATCAAGTAACCTTTGTGTCTGAAGTACACAAACTAGTCCCGGGCAACCCCGGGTTGGCTAGTAATAGAAGATGTTGGCAGAAATCAGTGAAAGGACTGCAGTGAGATAATGCTTGTGCCTAGAGAATGGTTGCAGTGAGAACGAAGGACTCACTGCTGGAGGGAATGTAAAAGGGCGCACCTGCTCTGGGAAAGTTGGGCGGTTTCTCAAAAGGTTAAACATAGAGTTACCATATGACCCAGCAAAATTCTACTCCTATGTATACACTCAGAGTTGAAAACACAAAAATCTGTACACGAATGGTCACAGCATGCATAATAGCCCAAGGGGCGCCTGGTGGGCGCAGTCAGTTGAGCATCCGACTGTTGGTTTTGGTGCAGGTGGTGATCTCATGGTCATGGGATCGAGCCCCGCCTCAGGCTCCATGCTCAGCTTGGAGGCTGCTTGGGGTTCTTTCTCTCCCTCTGCGCCTCCTGCTGGTGTGCGCTCGCTCACTCTTGCTCTCTCAAAAATAAATAAATAAAAATCTTAAAAAAAAAAAATAGCCCCCGCATGGAAACAACCCAGATGTTCTCAGCTGATGAATGGATAAACCAAATGTGTTACATCCATACTATGAAATAGCAGTCAGCCATAAAAAGATGAAATAGCAGTCAGCCATAAAAAGGCACGAAGTACTGACACGTGCTACAACATGGATGAGCCTTGAAAACACGTTATGTGAAGGAAGCCAGTCACTAAAGAGCACAGACTGTATTATTCCATTTACATGAAATGTCCACAATAGGCAAATCCATTCAGGCGGAGAGTAGAGCATTGGTTGCCAAGAGCTGGGGGAGGGAGAACGGAGAGTGACAGCTCATAGAGACGGGGTTTCTTCTCGGGGTGGCGACAGTGTTCTGGATTGGCAGTGGTTGCACACCTCTGGGAACGTACTAAAAACACTGATTTGCATTCTTTACTGGGGTTAATTTTATAGTATGTGAATCATTTCTTACCAAAGCTGTTGTTAAAACAATGAAAACAGTTTGTAAGAATCAATTGGCTATGTGGAATTTACAAGGAAAGGTATCATAGTTTATTATTATTATTTGTGAAGTGTGTGCCACACATCCTTATATGAGCAGAGTTATAATCCTATACGTCCCTCAGGTGTACTGAACACGTACCAGCACATTGCTCAGGGGGCGGCCCCATCGATTCCTCACCACTGCCCCATGCTTCTCCCTGCTCCTCCACCTTACAGCTTGCAGATCACCCCCAGCCACAGCAGAGGAAGGCTCCTGGCTTCTCTGCCCCCCCAGAGCAGGCCTGGTGGGGGGCGGGGGGTCCTTCCTCGCACTCGTCCGGGGCCTCCTTCGGTGTCATCATTGCTCTGGAAATGTTGCTTGAATTTCAGGAACATCTCTGCACATCTATCTTGCCAGACTTTTCCAAGCATATTTTTTCTATGAAATAACAGTACTTTTATTTTTTTATTTTTTTTAAGATTTTATTTATTTGAGAGAGAGAGGGAGAGAGGGAGGGAGGGAGAGCACAGAGGGAAAGTGAAAGGGAGAAGCAGGCCTCCTGCGGAGCAGGGAGCCCGACGCGGGGCTTGATCCCAGGACCCTGGGACCATGACCTGAGCCGAAGGCAGACGCTTAACCAACTGAGCTGCCCAGGTGTCCCGAAATAACGGTACTTTTAATCTGTGATTATTGACATGCATTGTAAGTTAAACATTTGTGTAACAGGCTTTGAGTGACCATGTTTTTTTTTTTTAATTTAAATTCAATTAATTAGCATATAATGTATTACTAGTTTCAGAGGTCGAGGTGATTCATCAGTCTTATATAACACTCAGTGCTCATTACATCATGTGTGCTCCTTAATGTTCATCACCCAGTTACCCCATCCCACCACCCCCCTACACTTGGTTCTTTAGCTCAGTTCTCAAGGTTGAGTCCAGGGACCTGAATGAATGTCAGCCCACATTGCGACAGGAAGGCTGAGGATTAGACACGGAGCTGAGCAGATGGGAACTCTTTTGCTAGGGCCTCTCCTTCCCTCCCATGCTGCTCGTGCCAGGTGGGCCGTCATTAAACGCTAGTCACATTCTATTGGTAAAATGATTAGCTATTGTTTTTACTTTTTCAAATGAAATTATCAGTGAGTAGCCACATAGACAAAATCTGCTTTAGGTTAAAATTTGCAAGCCCTGCATCACCCTTTTTAGTTCCTTGGAAGTTGCATCTTGTAATGATGATCATGAAGTACTGAAATATCCTGAATGAAGTGCCTTCCCAAGGGAAAAGAAATGTTAATTGTGTTCATTGTAGTATTTTTTTGGTGTTTTTTTTTTTTTTAAAGATTTTTATTTATTTATTTGAAAGAGAGAATGAGAGAGAGAGAGAAAAAGAGAGCACATGAGAGGGGGAGGGTCAGAGGGAGAAGCAGACTCCCTGCTGAGCAGGGAGCCCGATGCTGGACTCTATCCCAGGACTCCAGGATCATGACCTGAGCCGAAGGCAGTTGCTTAACCAACTGAGCCACCCAGGCACCCCTTTTTTGGGTGTTTGTAAGTTTTTTTTTTTTTAAAAGATTTTATTTATTTGACAGAGAGAGACACGGCGAGAGAGGGAACACAAGCAGGGGGAATGGGAGAGGGAGAAGCAGACTCTCCGCTGAGCAGGGAGCCCAATGCGGGGTCCTGGGATCATGATCTGAGCCGAAGGCAGACACTTAACCACTGAGCCACCCAGGTGCTCCTGGTGTTTGTAAGTTTTAACCATTCTTTTAATTGACTTTGAGGTGTAATTTGTATACAGTGAAATGAGTACATCCATTCAAAGTGTACATCTGATGAGTTTTAACAAACATGAATCTTTGCAGTTGCCACCCCAATAAAAGCAATCCCTTCCACCCTCAACTCTGACAATCACTGATGTGACTAATTTTTTTCCTAGAATGCCACACAGTGCAATCCCATAGCACATCCTCTTTTGTGCCTGGCTCTTTTGGTCTGTATATTGTTCTCAGACTCATCCATGTTCCTTTGTGTTGCTGCTGGTTTTCCAGTTTTTGATGCAGGGAGGGTGCATGGGAGATGCTCTGTTATTGGAGGTAGAAGTCACGGTCAGCAGTGTGTTGTTGTTTTAAGTAACTTATAAGAGATTTCTAAATTGAGTGATATTTTCCCCATGAGTTTTTCTTTTAACGGACAAATGGAGAAGCTAGTCTTTTGACTACTCAAGTCATCTTTTTATTTTTTTATTTTTATTTTTTTAAAATTTTTTCTAGTGTGGAGAATTTTTTTTTCAAGATTTTATTTACTTATTGGACAGAGAGAGACACAGAGAGAGGGAACAGAAGCAGCGGGAGAAGGAGAGGGAGAAGCAGGCCTCCCACTGAGCAGGGAGCCCGATGTGGGGCTCGATCCCAGGACCCCGGGATCATGACCTGAGCCGAAGGCAGACGCCCAACGACTGAGCCACCCAGGCGCCCCATCTTTTTGTTTTAATATCGAGTTTATTGAAGCCCAATTTATATACAGCAACACTCACTGCTGACAGACGTGTGCACCAGCACCGCAATTCAAGATAGAGAACGTTTTCATCAGCCCAGAAAATTCCTTTGTAGTCAGCCCCTTCCTCCACCCAGTACCTGTCTTTTCCACAATGTCCTATGAGTAGAATCCTACGGTATGCAACCTCTTGATGTGGCTTTTTCAGTGAACACGATGCATCTGAGATTCATCTGTGTTGCACATAGTTCTCTATTGTTGAAGAGCACCCATTGTGTGGACGCACCATACTTTGTTTTTCCCTCACCAGTGGGAGAACATTTAGGCTCTTGTCAGCTTTTGGCAATTATAAATAGAGCCACTTTTAGCAGTCACATACAAGCTTTTGTGTGAACATATGTATTTGTTCATCTTGGATAAATACGTAGGAGTGGGTTGCTGGGTTATATGTGAGGTGTATGGTTAATGTGTAATGGACTGCCAGCTTTTTTCCAAAGCGGCTGCACCAGTTTGCATTCCCACCCGCGATGTGTAAGAGCTCATGTGTTTTACATCTTCAACAGCACTTGCTATTGTCAAATGCTTTTGGGGGTTGTTTTAGCCATATTAAAGGATGTGTAGTAATATCTCATTGTGGTTTTGGTTTGCATTTCCCTGAGGACTGGTAATGTTGAGCATGCTTTTATGTGCTTATTTGCCATCTATATATCTTCTTTGGAGAAAGTTTTATTTGGCTAATTTGCCCATTTTTAAATTGGGTTGTCTGTTTTCTTATTATTGAGTTTTGAGAAATTTTATATATTCTGGGAATAAGTCCTTTTTCAGATTTGCATATATTTTCTCCCAGTCTGTGGCTTGTCTGTTTTATTTTGTGGATTGTGCTTTTGGTGTTGTATCTAAGCAATTGTTGCCTAGTCTAAGGTTGTAAACATTTTCTACTGCTTTAGAAGTTAGAGGTATTATAGTTTTAGATTTTACATTTAGGTCTTTGATCCATTTTGAGTTAGTTTTGTATACAGTACAAAGTAAGCTTGAGATGCTTTTTTTTTTTTTTTTGCATTAGGATTGAATTACCCCAGTGCCATTCTTGAACACGTTCTCTATAACGTTCATGTTAATATTTATTATAGTGGGGCACCTGGGTGACTCAGTCATTGAGTGTCGGCCTTCGGCTCGGGTCGTGATCGCAGGGTCCTGGCATTGAGCCCCACGTTGGGCTCCCTGCTCCGTGGGAAGCCTGCTTCTCCCTCTCCTACTCCCTCTGCTTGTATTCCCCTCTCTTGCTGTGTCTCTGTCTGTCAAATAAATAAATAAAATCTTAAAAAAATAAAATATATTTATTATAGTTCTTTTAACTTGTATATTCTCTGACAGATAGTCTTAAACAGAGGAAACTAATGAGGGACTTTAATAAATCTAGACTGTTCATTTTATACTACTAGGGATTCGTTTAGTTTATGTTAACCCTGTGCATTTTGTTAAAGGTCTCAGGATTCTGCCCTCCAAGAAAATCTTGCCATGATTGGATAGGACCCCCAGATAAACATTCAAACCTTCGACCCGTTTACTTTTATGTCCCCGAAAACGAATCACCGTTGGAACAAAAGCTAAGACAATTAAGACAAGAAACACAAGAATGGAACCAACAGTTCTGGGCAAACCAGAATTTGACGTTTCGAAAGGTAAGCTTAGATCAGAGGGCCAAGTGAGAAAGAAATAACAGGTGGCCACGTGGGGGCGCTAAATCCTTAGTCTTTGCCTTTCTGTTACTTGGTCAGCCTTGGTCCCTCCCTCCCTCCCTCCCTCCCTTTCCTTTCTCTCCCTTCCCTCTCACACATGGATAAACATATGTGAATGTATGTACGCATATAATTTTTAAGTCAGTATTGTAACTGTACATAAGAAATACTGATCATCGTAACATCACAGATCTTGAGGCTTTCAAGTAGTTAAAAGGAGTAGCAGAGCCAGAGCTAGAACAGGTCTGTGTGTGTGTGTTTATGAAAATATGGGTTTGTTTTTGTTTAGAGCTTTTATTTATTTGTCGGAGAGAGAGAGGGAGAGAGAGAGGCAGGCAGAGGGAGAAGCAGACTCCCCGCTGAGCAAGGAGCCTGATGTGGGACTCAGTCCCAGGACCCTGGGATCATGACCTGAGCCGAAGGCAGACGCTTAACCAACTGAGCCACCCAGGCGTCCCGAGAATATGGGTTTTTGTGATGTGATTTCATTCTGAGGATTCAGAATTCTTAACAGCATATTGTAAATGAACTATATGAGAAAGAAGTAGAAATATTCTAATCCAGAAGGAACGTATTTAAGCTTTATATGTCCTACTGTTTGGGCGGGCTATGTCAAATGGACTATGTTTATTTTATTCTGTGGATTTATAAACAGTACCTCCCAAAGTTTATTAAACATCTTGTTTTCAAATCCTAATTTAAGCAGGGGACTTTAAACCATATTCGGATGGCTTAAACCAGGTTTGGAGATGGGTCTGTTCTTAGAAATCTCCATCCACACTTGTCCAGAACACTTCAAGCTGTGTCCTAGCCAAGGACAGATGGAAAGATGAAGAAAGGGCATTCTGATGGTTTTCTTCTTTTAGGAAAAAGAAGAATTTATTCACTCAAGGCTAAAAGCTAGAGGCCTGGAACTGAGAGCTGGATCAGGTTAGTTCATTTGTCCTTTTTCTCCTAACATTGTGTTTGTTTGAGTAACTGCGTAAGAAGATAAAAAGAAAGGATGTCAGGGGCGCCTGGGTGGCGCAGTCGGTTGAGTGCCCCAACTCTTGGTCCTGATCTCAGGGTCGTGAGATCGAGCCCCTTATTGTCGGGCTCCACGCTTGGTGGGGAGTCGGCTTGAGATTCTCTCTTTCCCTCTGCCCCTCCCCCTGACCCCCGTCAAAAAAAGAGAAAAAGAAAGGCTGTCAGATGAAGGAGAGACAGCTGAGGGGGCAAGTTGTGGTCTCCTTCGGGGCAGGGGCTCTGAGTGTACGGGGGGCCTGCCCTCCTCCTGCGCCCTCTTTCCCCTTTGGGGGAGATCATCCCTCTCCCGATTTTAGGTCATTCTGATCGATGACTTCCCTCCGACCTTTGAACATCTATCCCAGGGTCCCATGGCTTCCGCAGCGTTTTTCTCTCCTATACCAGCTCCACTTCCTGCATTCCTGACCTCAGCTCAGAGCCCCACCAGTCCCCAGGAGCCGCAAACCTCATGGGAGTCCGCCTCAAATTCCCCTCCCTCGGGACGCCTGGGTGGCTCAGTTGGTTAAGCAACTGCCTTCAGCTCAGGTCATGATCCTGGAGTCCCGGGATCGAGTCCCGCATCGGGCTCCCTGCTCAGCAGGGAGTCTGCTTCTCCTTCTGACCCTCTTCCCTCTCGTGCTCTCTATCTCTCATTCTCTCTCTCTCAAATAAATAAATAAAATCTTTAAAAAAAATAAAAAAATTCCCCTCCCTCACCTCCCATTTCTCTGTGGGATGACCTATTAAACATTTCTCAGTACTCTGACCACTCCCTGTCCTTGAAACATTGCTTTCTTTCAGGCCTTTGTGAGTTCTGTGACTACTGCAGCAGCTTTCTGACTGGGTCCTTGACCTCCAGTCTTTAAATCAGGGGTCTGCAAACTTTCTGTAAAGGGCGAGATAGTAGATAGTTTCGTTTTCTGGGCCGTGTGGGGCCTCTGTTTCAACTGTTCAGCTCTGCTGTTGTGGGAAGGCAGCCATGGAAAATCCGTAGACTAGTGGGCATGAATGTGTTCCAGTAAAACCTTGTTTACAAGAGCAGGGGTGGTGGGCCACATTTGGCCTGCAGGCTGTAGTTTATCAACTCCTTCCTCACATTCATTCCTTGTAGTGTAGCCAGACTGTCCTTCCCCACATACAGATTTGACATTTGTTGCCCAGCTTAGGTTTTCAGACCCCCATGACTACAGAATGGCAGCTGTGCTCCCAGCCTGCCTCCCCTCTGTCATGTCTCGTCCCCCGTGCTGTGTGCTTGACAGACAGGAATGCTCTGCTCCATTCGGTCCCCTCTGTCTACTGAGCTGCCTGCTCTTTTTTTTTTTTTTTTAAGATTTTACTTATTTATTCATGAGAGACAGAGGGAGAGAGAGGGAGAGAGAGAGAGAGAGAGAAGCAGAGGAAGAAGCAGGCTCCCAAGGAGCAGGGAGCCTGATGTGGAACTCGATCCCAGGACCCCGGGATCATGACCTGAGCCGAAGGCAGTCGCCCAACCATCTGAGCCACCCAGGCACCCCTGCCTGCTCTTTTTTGGATAGAAGATCTAGTGCTCAAAAAAACCTTTGATCATTTTCTCTTGCTGTTGATGTTCGGCCTGAATAACATTTCATACTGTTTGTTAAACAGATTTCTACTGTTAAAACATTGTTCTCATGGAAAATCTGAAGCCATTGACCCCAAAAGGCATGTCTGTCATTGGGCTAAAGCACTGTCCCTCTCTCCCTGCTAATCCTTCACCTCACCTGGATCTATTTAGGCTACAGAGCTGGTGATGATGGGCTCTGCTATTTGCTGTCATCAAGGTGCTGTCTTGGTGGGCGGGAGCCAGCAGGAGAGGGTGCTGGGTCCTAACAGTAAGTGTAGAATAATGGCTCACCATTTCAGACCCTGACCCTGCTGGGTACTATGCTAAGTCCTTTGCCTGTGTCATCTTTTTATTTCCCACAGTGACCAAACGAAGTAGGTCCTGCTACTTTTGCCATTTTATTTTTATTGTTTTTTAAAGATTTTACTTTTTGACAGAGAGAGAGACAGCGGGAGAGGGAACACAAGCAGGGGGAATGGGAGAGGGAGAAGCAGGCTCCCGGCCGAGCAGGGAGCCAGATGCAGGGCTCGATCCCAGGACCCTGGGATCATGACCTGAGCTGAAGGCAGACGCTTAACAACTGAGCCACCCAGGCGCCCCAATAAATAAAATTTTTTAAAAAAATTTATTTTTAAGCAATCTCTACACTTAATGTGGGGCTCGAACTCACAACCCCAAGATCAAGAGTCACATGCTCCACTGACTGAGTCAGCCAGGTGCCCTGGGAGGACTCCTTTTGATCTTTCTGTAAAGGAGTGTGCTTAGGGGACACAGGTGGCTCAGGCCCAGGCTGGAGTAGAGCCTGGCCCAGGCGTGGCCTGCTCTCAGCCGCTGGAGCCATAAACAGCACTCCATCCCAGGCCTCAGCCTTCTCTTGCCATGAATGGGCTTTCTCCAACTCTCAGTATACCTCCCTAGTTCAAGGGCAGGGCGCAGTCTTGGAGGCTCTCCTGGGGCAGGGCCTGGGGGCCCGTGGGGAGGAGCCCTGGAATCGGGGAGGCCGAGGCTCGGGGGGTTGTGTTGAGTGAGCGCGGCTGCTGCTGTGGAAACAGGGCCTGGTGGCGGCGCAAGGCCAGTGTAAACCAGGGGGCCGGACAGAGGGTTGCGTCCAGGAAACAAGTGACACGGGAACAGCAGATGATAGAGCAGAGATGCCGGGGGCAGTCTTGCTGAAGAGCATGAACTAGTTTGTAGAAATGACAGAGTACGCATGGGTGAGGGGTGTGGCTGCAGATTACAGTGTGTATTGGACCAGCACCCAGGAGTCGCTGTGTGCTCACTGAACTCCTGGGGCGTCTCCCGTGAGCAGCCTCGGTGCTGCTGGAGGGACAGTGCAGTACAGCGCTCAGAGGTGGTCGGCGGCAGGAGAACGTTCCAGCCTTCTTTCCAGAAGGACGTGACTGCAGGCAGCACACATATGCCAAGAAGCAGGAGAATTTTGATCACAGAACATCTAAGAAAGCATCCTAGAGGAAAACATGAGACGAGTCAGCCGCTGGTTCCTTGCAATGTTATCTTTTTTTTTTTTTTTTTTAAGTAGGCTGCATACCCAGCACCAGAGCCCAACACGGGCGGGGCTCGAACTCACAACCCCTAGATCAAGACCTGAGCTGAGATCAAGATTCGGATGCTCAACCGACTGAGCCACTCAGGCGCCCCCACAGCATTACCTTTAATTGCAAAAAAAAAGCTGGGAGGAAGTATCTAAATTCCAGTAATCACAGATTAGATAAGTGGCCCTCCCACCTGGTGGATGTTCACTGGAATATTCTGCAACAATGTAGAAAAATTACTGGATTTCCAGTGCAAGAAGCAGAACATCATGATTTCAGCTCTGCCTGTCCCCAAATTAAGTCTCATTTGTAGAGCAGCAGTGTAGTGGGAGGATTCTTGCCTCTAATTTCTTCTGTTGCAAAAGTAAGTTTTCATGCAGTGGGAAAGCCAGCTGGTATATATGAGCCCCGCACCGGGTTTTCAGTAGACGTATAATGAGGTAGGTTATGCTGCCTACCTTCCTTTGCTTGCTTTCATTAGAGCTCAGTAGTACGTTGCAATGTTGGTAGGCACAGGATCTGAATTACTTAGCGCACATTTCTGGTGCTTCTGCTTTGTGCTGAGCTCTGGCTTTGGGGTGTTTGGACAAGACACCGCACCAGACCAGCAGATGAAGATGGCACCTGACCTTCCTTAGAACCCTGGGGCTCCTGCCGTTTTGCCAGCGGTGGTAACAAGTGAGCGCCCCGTGCCAGGCCCCGTCCTGCCCACCACACTGGCCACAGCTCATCTGGTCTCAGAGCAGCCGTATGATGTGTGCTGTTGTGATCCACGTTCTAGATCTGAGAGGGGCCAAAGTTCTGGGCCATCTGCCAGTGAGGGACAGAGCTTCATCTGAGGGGGGGCACTAACCCCTGGCACGTCTTTAGTTTCTCGTGGGCGCGGGCAAGGCCACAGAGACATGTGCCAGGAAGCCGAGGTGAGGGTGCACACATGCCTCTCCTCCCAAGACTCCTTGGCCAGAAGACCCCAGTGCTTGAGCCAGGGGTTCTGTTCCTTGGCCCTGTCACTGCGCTCAGGCCCTGACCACCCTCCTCCTCGCTCACTCTGTTCAGTCACATCTGTGCCTCTCCCGACCCTTTATTTCCTCCATGCTGGTCCATGGCTTGTGACCTGTCTTCTCCCTTCTCTACACTGTGGGTTCCTGTTCATCCTATGAGACCCAGCTCAAATGTCACCTTCCCTGGGGGACACCTCCCTCCCCTTCTTGGGCAGCTGGTGGTTCTCTTTCTTGTCCCACTTACCATCGATCTATTTGTTGATTTGAGGTACTTGCCCAGTAGTTTCCATGTGCCGAGCTAGGCCCCGGGACCTTGTAGTGGGTGAGACAGACAGCTGTAGCCTGCCTCGTGCTGCTGACACTCTGACGCGCGCTGGGAGTGTGACCCACAAACAGGTAGCTCAGTGGACGCGTGCCACGCTCTTAGGGTATGAAGAACAACAGGGAAGCGGAGGGGGGAGTGGGTGTTGTACCAAGGCCTCAGAGAAGGCCTGGCTGAGGAAAGGCAGCTAGGGGAAATTTGAGCTGCTCCTCCCCCAGATGGAGGTTTTGAGGAACTGCAGGAGGCTGGGTCAGAGGAGTGAGGACGTGTGGAGCACACTGCTGTTTACTCAGGCAGGCCCCGGGTTACGATTTGGAAGGGGTGTGTGCTCATCCTCTGTGAGGGGACAGACACATGCTTGGGCCATGCCACCTGAGTGTTAGCGTCTATGTTGTACATATAAAAGGTCAGCCATTTTCCCTTCTTCTGTGGAAATGTGCCCTTGAGTTACCTTCCCAGCTCTGTCTCCCCCAGATCCTGATAGGAATGGAGCACCGACCTCAGCTGTGCCGCTGGGAAACATGGCCTCCACCTGGAGACAGCATCTGCAAGGGCAAGCATGCTAAAGCTGAGGTCGGAGCTTGAACATGGGCCTCCCCGCATGTGCAGGAACCCCCGGGGGCAGTTCTAGGCTCCTGCAGAGAGGGTGGGACCTGTTTGGGGCTTGGGGCTTCAGAGCCAGAGTGCCTTCACTCTGAGCCATCACTTGGTGTCCTGACACTGACCTGTGGGCTGCTCTCTGGTTCCTGTCCTGTGTGGCCTTTTTAAATCTGGTGGGGGAGCTCTGAGGGTGGGCGCCATGCCATGGTTGGCACCTCCCACCACACAGCACCATGGAGGAGGCTGGGTCAGTCCCTGTGTGTCACCAGTCCCCACCAGCACCTAATGCATTACCTGGTTCAGTGTGTGCTCACTGGCTCAGAGATTGAACAGTTAGGCTGGTGTCTGCTCCAGGCCAGGATGCATCCAAAGTGAGGAAGTATTCCATTTCCCTTATGTGGATCGCTCGCGTTTCTTGTTGGAAGCTTCAGAAGGCGTTGGAGTAGACACGATGAAGCATATCTCACATGATGCGCATTGGTAGATGCACACCTGCACTTGCAGTAGTCATGAGGAAATTGAGCTACACTGGAACTGTCCCAGTCTGGTGATAGATCATTTTCTCCCTAAGACTTTTTCCTTTTCCAAGATAGAATTCACATGCCATAAAATTCACATTTTAAAAAAAGATTTTGTTTATTTATTTGAGAGAGAGAACACAAGCAGGGGGAGCGGCAGGCAGAGGGAGAGGGAGAAGCAGGCTCCCGGCTCAGGGGGGAGCCTGACTCGGGGCTCGATCCCAGGACTCCGGGATCATGACCTGAGCTGAAGGCAGACGCTTAACCAACTGAGCCACCGAGGTACCCCTAAAATTCACATTTTATTTACAATTCAGTAGTGTTTAGTATTCACAGGATTGCACAGCCATCACCATATCTCATTCCAGAACATTTTCATCACCCCAGAAGAAACCCTATTCCCACTGGCAGTCACTTCCAATTTCTTCCTCCCACCAGCTCCTGACAGCCACTAATCTATTTCTGTCTTTATGGACTTGCCTTTTCTGGGTCTTTCCAGATAAATGGAAACATATAATACGTGGTCTTTTGTGTCTGCCTTTTTTTTAAAAAAAGATTTTATTTATTTATTTATTTTCAAGATTCCATTTATTTATTTGACGGAGAGAGAGACAGCGAGAGAGGGAACACAAGCAGGGGGAGTGGGAGAGGGAGAAGCAGGCTTCCCACGGAGCAGGGAGCCCGACGCGGGGCCCGATCCCAGGACCCTGGGATCATGACCTGAGCCGAAGGCAGTCGCTTAACCAACTGAGCCACCCAGGTGCCCCTAAAGATTTTACTTATTTATTTGAAAGAGAGTGCATGCAAACAGCAGGGCAGTGGGGGGAGCAGAGGGACAAGCAGACTCTGTGCTGAGCACAGAGCCTGCCGTGGGGCTCAATCCCATGACCCTAAGATCATGACCTGAACCAAAATCAAGAGTCGGACTTTTTTTTTTTTTTAAGATTTTATTTATTTATCTGATACAGAGAGACACAGCGAGAGCAGGAACACAAGCAGAGGGAGCAGGAGAGGGAGAAGCAGGCTTCCCGCCAAGCAGGGAGCCCGATGTGGGGCTCGATCCCAGGACCCTGGGATCATGACCTGAGCCGAAGGCAGCCGCTTAACGACTGAGCCACCCAGGCGCCCCAAGTGTCTGTCTTCTTTCACTTGAGTGCATGTTTTCAGGGTTCATCCATGTTGTAGCATGGACCAGGATTTCAAAGGTTTTTTTTATGGCTGAACAATATTCTATTATATGGATAGACCACATTTTGTTTATCCATCAGTTGATGGACATTTGGGTTGTTTCTGCTTTTTTGACTATTACAAAGACTGCTGCTGTGAGCAACTGTGTATCATACCTATAAGTGGAATTGCTGGGTCATATGATAACTCTGTGTTTAACTTTTTGAGGAACTGCCAGGCTACTTTCCATAGTGGCTGCACCATATTACATTCCCCCCAGCAGTGTGTGAAGGTCCGGTTACCCCATGTCCTCATCAATACTTCTTACTACTGTCTATTTAGTCTAGCATTATAGCTGTCTTGGTGGGTGTGAAATGGTATCTTATTGTTTTTTTTATTTGAATTTCCCTAATGACTTAATGATAGTATCTTTTCACGTTCTTAGTAGCCATTTGTACGTCTTCTTTGGAGAAATATCTATTCAAGTCATCTGCCCATTTTTAAAGTGGGTTATTCTCTTTTTGTTGTTGTTTTCAGCGTTTTCTACATATTCTGGATGTGAGACCTATATTAAGTAGGTGATTTGCAAATATTTTCTCCCATTCTGTAGGTCGTCTCTTTACTTTCTTGATAATGCCCTTTGAAGCACAGAAGTCTTAAATTTTGATGAAGTCCAATTCATCTATTTTCTCTTTGCTTGTATTTTAGGTGTCATACCTAAAATGCACTGACTAATTCAAGGAGATGAAGATTTGTCCCTGTTTTCTTCCAAGAGTTTTTTAGTTTTAGCTCTCACATTTAGGTTTTTGACCCATTTTGAGGTTGTGTTTGTATATGGTGTGAGGTAGGGATTCAACTCTATATTTTTGCATGTGACTTTGTAGTATTTTAGCACCGCTTGCTGAAGAGGCTGTCTCCCACCCTCCCACCCCCCATTGAATTGTTTTGTTACCTTCATTGAAAATCACTTGCTCGTAAATGTTTGCGGTTATTTCTGGACTCTGAGGCCTGTCCTTGTGTCAGTACCACGCTGTCTTAATTACTGTAGCTTTGTGGTAAGTTTTGAAGTTGAGAAAGGTGAGTCCTCCAATGTTCTTCTTTTTCAAGATTGTTTTGGCTGCTGGGTTTCCTTGCTCTTGTACATGAATTTTAGGATCTGTCAATCTGCCAAAAGCCAGCTGGGATTTTGAGAGGGATTGTATTGAACCTATGTGTCAATTTGGGACGTGTTGCCATCTCAGCGGTATGAAGTCTTTAAAACCATGAACATGGGATGTCTTTCTATTTATTCATGTCTTCTTTCATTTCTTTTAGCTGTGTTTTATAGTATTCAGTGTGTAAGTCTTACACTTCCTCTCAAATTTATTCCTAGGTCCTTTATTATTTTTGATGCTATTGTAAATGAAATTGTTTTCTTTCTTCTTTATATATATATATATATATATATATATATATATATTTTTTTTTTTTTTTATTTGAACATAACCTCATGATTTTATTGTCTTCGTAATATTAACAAAATATGAAGCTTAGAACTGGATCACTTGGCCCTTTCTCTTCTTATCTCCTCCCAGTTCAAAATGCTTGCATCTCTTAATAGCCAGCATTCTCTTAGATCTGCAATTGGGCTCAACACATTCAAGCCTCAGCACAATCTTCTTTGTAGTTTTAGCCTTTTTCCGGAAAATCGGCTTAGTCTGCCCGCCATAGCCACTCTGCTTCCTGTCATAACGCCGCTTTCCCTGGGCATAAAGAGAATCTTTGCCCTTCTTGTACTGTGTCACTTTGTGGGGCTGGTGCTTGCCACACTTCTTGCAGAAAGTCCGGCGGGTTTTAGGAACGTTCACCATGTTTGCGAGAGCGCTATCGGCACGGAAAGCTATATATATATTTTTTTTAATTAAGTAAACTTAATGCCCAACGTAGGGCTCAAACTCACAACCCCCAGATCAAGAGTTGCATGCTTCATCGACTGAGCCAGCCAGGCACCCCTGGAATTGTTTTCTTAATTTCATTTTTTGGATTGTTTATTGCTGGTGTTTAGAAAAATACAGTTGATGTATGTATTTTGATCTTGTATCCTGCATCTTGCTGACCTCTATTAAATCAATAGTAGTGTGTGGGTTCCTCGCTGTTAAGTCTTAATGTTTATTTTTATTTATTTATTTTTTGAAGATCTTATTTATTCATTTGACAGAGAGCATAAGCAGGGGGATCAGGCAGGCAGAGGGAGAGGAAGAAGCAGGCTCCCTGCTGAGTAGGGAGCCTGATGTCGGGGCTCAATCCCAGGACTCTGGGATCATGACCTAAGCCGAAGGCAGTCGCTTAACTGACTGAGCCACCCAGGCACCCCAAGTCTTAATGTTTAAATTGAAATTAATTTTCAGGTCAAAAAGCAACATTAGATGCAGAAGAAATGGCTGACTTTTACAAGGAATTTTTACGTAAAAATTTTCTGAAGCACATGTATTATAACAGGTAAGTGTTTATTTTTTTTTTAAATCTTGAATTTTTTTTTTAAGATTTTATTTATTTATTTGACAGAGAGACACAGCGAGAGAGGGAACACAAGCAGGGGGAGTGGGAGAGGAAGAAGCAGCCTCCCAAGGAGCAGGGAGCCTGATGTGGGGCTCGATCCCAGGACCCTGGGATCATGACCTGAGCCGAAGGCAGACGCTTAACGACTGAGCCACCCAGGCGCCCCTAAAATCTTGAATATTATATCCATATTGGGTAGGATTATTTTCTTATTTGTATTTAGTGACATTTATGCTTATAACTTTTAAATAAAGTTGACAGCTTAAAGATATTTGTGTGGCAACCCCATAGCAATTTGTAAGATTTTATTTATTTATTTGAGAGAGAGAGAATGAGAGAGAGAGAGCACGAGAGGGAAGAGGGTCAGAGGGAGAAGCAGACTCCCCGCTGAGCAGGGAGCCCGATGTGGGACTCGATCCCGGGACTCCAGGATCATGACCTGAGCCGAAGGCAGTCGCCTAACCAACTGAGCCACCCAGGCGCCCAACCCCATAGCAATTTGTGCCCCTCATGCTTGGACAGTGGGTTCTAAACACCACTTTCCACTAAAGGGAACCTGGGCTCCTTGGAGAAGGTTCTGGGGTGGGAATAGCGCATGATGAGTTGAGACACCTGGTGTCTGAAAGTGGGGAGGCTCAGAGACCAGCGGGGTCACATGAGAATGGTGTAAAAGCCAACTTGGGCCCCCCTAGGCCTAGGGTGAGGCCACTTCAGCCGCACAAAGGAATGACCACAGTGGATTAAAATATATATCAAATATGCAAAGATCTTTGCAATCATAACAATATTGAAAAGCTCACAGTAGGGGCGCCTGGGTGGCTCAGTCGTTAAGCGTCTGTCTTCAGCTCAGGTCGTGATCTCAGGGTCCTGGGATCGAGCCCCACATCAGGCTCCCTGCTCCGCGGGAGGCTTGCTTCTCCCTCTCCCTCTCCCCCTGCTTGTGTTCCTGCTCTCTCTGTATCTCTCTGTCAAATAAATAAATAAAATCTTAAAAAAAAAACAAAAAGAAAAGCTCATAGTCACCTCTATATATAGCTAGGCAGCCAACTCATTATTCTGAAAACTGATAAATAAAAGAATCCAAAGAATACACACCTTTCATGCATCAGCTCTATGGGTAGCCATATGAAGGAGCATTTTTCTTTGTAGAAGGATGACAGCTAATGCAGAAGGAGTTAGAAAGTTAACATTTTCCCAATGAATAATGGATCTGGGTCACAGTCACTCACAATTGCTAAAACCATTGGGTAGGAAAGCTGGTGGGGCTTTATAATACATGGGTCAGGGTGATCACTCCTGAGCCCCAGTGCACCTTGCTGTACACAGTGGACCCTGCTGCATGCCTCTGTGAGGTACAGGAGGAAGTGGGGGTGCCACCTGGGAGGCGTTCTTACCAAAAAAACGGAGAGGAATCTAGGCAGACCTCCAGACTTAATACCAGTTCACAGGAAGAAGGTAAAGGCTGTATGGGGTGGGGGTGAGAGGGGTTCATAGAAGACCACGTTTAAAATGATAGCCTGAAGGTACAATCCCAGAATGTTGGAAATTCTGCAAGAACAAATCCAGTTTCAACAAGTAACTGGATTTTTATTTATTTTTTATAAAGATTTTACTTATATATTTGAGAGAGAGAGGGAGAGAGAGAGCACAAGCAGGCAGAGAGGCAGGCAGAGGGAGAGGGGGAAGCAGACTCCCCGCTGAGCAGGGAGCCCGATGTGGGGCTCGATCCCAAGACCCAGGGATCATGACCCGAGCCAAAGGCAGACGCCTAACAGCTGAGCCACCCAGGCGCCCCAGTAACTAGAATTTTAAACAGGAGGGGGACCTACTTCAGATTAAAAGAGGCTTCATGCAGTGTATGGTCCTTATTTGGGTCCTGATGCAGACAAACCACCTGTAAAAGATATTTTGTTAGAGGAAATTGAACAGTGGCTGTATATTAGGTTGTATTGGTATGTTATTGTTCATTTTATCAAATGCAATGGTACTATTGTGGTTACATGTTTTTAAAAAGGGTTTTAACGATACATAATGTGTATTTCCAGGTGAAATGATAGGCTATGACGTTTGAGATTTGCTTTAAAAGGTAACAGTGGCGATGTCAGGCCAGGCAGGGAGGTAAGGTCTAGCGGATGGTGGTAGTGGTTGAGGCTTGGCGAGCTCAAGAGACCAACAGTAGACAGATGAGTCTCGCAGTATGTGCACAGTGGGCTAGTGTAGTCCTGTTACCCTGAGCTAGCTAAGTTATTCAGTCAAGCCAGTATAAGTTTTATTTCTCTAGACCTTTGATTTCTGATGTGGACCGTACCATGTTTGCATCACACCTCATCCCCGGTGAGCTGGGTGTGTGCTGTGTGGCGTTCAGAGCAGAGAGGACCAGCCTTACTGGATGGCAGGTAGCAGAGGGGCCTCAGGGTCCCCTTCTGTGCCCACGCCACCTCCTGCCCTGCCTTCCCTAGGGAAGCGGGAAAAGCTGAGTTTCCCTACATTTTGTCAGAGTATTGATGGAGTAGCATCTGGCTGTTCCTTAGTAACATAAGAACTTTAATCTCGATGGGATGGAAGCCTTTCTTGTTCATTTATGGCACTGCTTCCCATTTATAACATCAATTAAGTGGATAGAAACAAGATCGTTCTCATGAGGAGAGGGGCTTTCTATCCAGCCACTGCAAAGGCTCCAGAAAAGGAGCACTTTTACCTCTTGGTACTGCTTCTTTTGAGCCCTTGGTCACTCTCCTTCCTTCTGTATGGAGACCCAGTAAATCCTTTGAGTCCAGTCTGAAATAAAAGTCCCATGTGCACTCATTAGCTCATTTGGCTGAAAAGCATTGGTACTAATTGGCATTTCAGCTTCCAAGGGCTTAGCATCATAAGAGTCTGGAATGTGTGCATTCTATTGTGGAAACTTTCCAAGCTTGGCCCATTGAGCAGTGGGGTGAATTTGCAATTTTCGGCATGTTTTGTACAGTAACGCATGAGCAAGTGAGCCTGAGACTGTGAACTCCATCCCAGTATTTGTATGAGAAGCTCTGGAACTCTCTCCTTAGAGACACAGATTACGCAAAAGCTCAGATCATTTAGAAAAAGATGATGTGGAGCTTTATGATGTTGGCACTCGTGGTAAATTAACTTCTCATGATGGAGTACTCTGTCTTGTGCTTCTTATGCAAATAAGATGCCCAACCAGCATTGTCCCCACTGAGTCCTGCCAGTTGTTTGCCCAGTGGTTACGCCCCCATCAATCAACAGTTGTCTCTCTCCAGGAATGCCACGGGACTCTGGAGGCCCCAGGCTTCTCTTTTGGAGTCTTTTAGCAAAAACCAGAGGATTGCAGCAGAATAGGAAAAGGTGGGGGTTGGGGTGCGCTCGGCATTCACTTTGTTGAGCCTTATTCTCAGCCTTATTCAACCCGGGGGGAGGAAGGAAGGCTCTTATGGCCAGTTTAGCTTTAATGAGGGCAGAAAAGGGAAGAGACAGTGGGGAAAGGTGGAGGGTGGTCAGGAGGACTTGCCTGTGGGCCAGGAACTCCCCTCAGAGGCCTGGGCGCTAGTCCTCAGTTATGGGGGGGGGGTCACATGTGCTTCTCTTGTTTCTCTGTAGAGACTGGTACAAGCGTAATTTTGCCATCACCTTCTTCATGGGAAAAGTGGCCCTGGAGAGAGTTTGGAATAAGCTTAGATCAAAACCAAAGACCAGCACCTAGGAACCCACCCTGACCTGCCCACTCTGACCCTCCCACCACTGCTGTCGGAGTTTTCTGGGAGAAGCGGCTGCTCTGGGAATCCATTTTACAAGGGCTCTAAAAACCTGTAAGTGAACTGAGTCCCACACCTACTTTATGGGGGCCCCTTGGCTTATGTCAGCACAGGGTGGACTGGGAGAATGGGAATCCTGGTGAGCTGTGGGCCATATGACTCTGTCCTGACTGTGGATTCCAAGCTAGCCCTGGGTCATGGACATGATGTTAAATAAAACACAAGCACTGTGTACCCATGTTCTGTGTTTTTGAATTCTACCAATTTGAAATAGAACAATATAAAAATATTAGTGTACTTTGACCTGCATGTGTGACTCCACTGATGGGAATAATTTGGAAGCTGGCTGCAGTCGTATGTACTATGCTCTCACATGACTGGCGGGCCGTGAGTTCCTGGAGGCCCTGGTCCATGCCCTGAAGAACCGCCAGCTGTCCTGGGACGCTTGCACCTGTGCAGCCCTGTGATGTGGGGGCATCCTGGCTTGCAGGAGAGGAAGATACCTGCCTCGACAGCAGGGAATCGGCCTTCGGAGCCAGGCCTTGTTAGCGAGCATATCCTCTGAGGACCCATGAGTTACGTGGAATTAACCAAAAGCTACTTGGCAAACAGTTTCTATTACAGAGCGAGGCATGATAATACAGTCATAAGCCCAGATTTCTTCTGTGGCTTCTAAGCTGCTGGGAGCAAAGATGATTTCCAAGGAGAAAACTCAGAAGCCAGAGGAAGAATGTCACCACCCCCCTTCCATGGAGGCTTTCAAGGGCTGGCGGATGAATGGGGGTGCATCTGAGAATCTCATCAGCCTCGCATCTGCCCAGGAGGGCCATCATGCTGCACCCTGCCAAATGCCTTGTGTCCCCAGGAATGCTGCATGGGGCAGTCATGCTCCATGCTGTTAACCCAGGTCCCCAGAGGGTGGCGGACATGCACCAACCAGCGTGGAACATGGAGTTGGATAGAAATAACACCGTATCGTTTATTCACACCATACCCCTGCTGAGCTCAGATTCTCAACCTGTCACCAGAGTGTGTGGCACTGTGTGCGTCCTCAGAGAAATGAGGGAAAGGGAGAACCATGAGGGAGCGAGCCTTTTTTTTTTTTTTAAGATTTTATTTATTTATTTAACAGACCCAGCGAGAGCAGGAACACAAGCAGGGGGAGTGGGAGAGGGAGAAGCAGGCTTCCCACCAAGCAGGGAGCCCAATGTGGGGCTCGATCCCAGGACCCTGGGATCATGACCTGAGCCGAAGGCAGACACTTAACGACTGAGCCACCCAGGTGTCCCGTGCAAGCTTTTAATTCTTCCTTTATCCCATCAACTTCACTGACTTGAAAGTTATTTGAACATTGTCTTTGTCTGGGATGGTATCACATTGGAATAAATAGCAACTTGCAGTGGTATCGTTTCTACTTCTCTTTGCACATCAATTCTTAAGGACTCTGAGGGTGACTTTCCACAGTAACAGCAAAAGACAAGTGGGCCACCTGGGCGCTTGGGGGGCTCAGGTAGTTGGGCATCCAACTCTTGGTTTCAGCTCAGGATCGAGCCCCATATCAGGTTCTGTGCTCAGCGGGGAGTCCTCTCTCTCTCTCTCTCTCTCTCTCTCTCAAAAGAAAGAAATAAATCGGGCGCCTGGGTGGCTCAGTTGGTTGAGCAACTGCCTTCGGCTCAGGTCATGATCCTGGAGTCCTGGGATCGAGTCCCACATCGGGCTCCCTGCTCGGCGAGGAACCTGCTTCTCCCTCTGGCCCTCACCCCTCTCGTATACTCTCTCTCTCATTCTCGCTCTCTCAAATAAATAAATAAATCTTAAAAAAAAAAAAAAGAAAGAAAGAAATCTTTAAAAAAAAAAGACAAGTGGACCATCTGAAAGAAAATCGGTTTTTCAGGAAGGTGAGTTCCAGTGGGTGGTAAAGGTGTGTGTGTGAGCACATCATCACAAACTGTTAAAGACACATTGTGTTGTATGTGACTCTGTGTGAAGGTAGAGGGACGGTTTGAAAAGCTGATATATTTTGTAACCCGTGGGACTATTGAACAACCATACATGTGTGCTGTTGGTAAAAGGCCTTTTCAGACACAGGTGTATCCTGAATCACACTCTGCGATGTTGAGATCCTGTTGTCTCAGGGTTCTTGTTAGCCCGGTGTTCCAGAAAGCTTGTTCCCTGGACCCTTGAGCCGATGGATTCTGCCCTTCAGCTGGTGGCTTAGTGACCCAGTGTCAGTACTTACGCTGTGTAAGAGTTTTCACCAACTGTTGCTCTCCTTGCCGGTCTCCATAACTTAACCTCCTGACATCCTCATGGCTCCTAGAGGCAAGTGTCTTGAGATTTCAAGGAACAGAAACTTACTCAAATGAGCTCTAGTCACAGGCAGGGGGTAGGTGACCATTAGAAGCCAGGGGTGCCTGGCTGACTCAGTCGGAAGAGCATGTGACTCTAGATCTGAGGGTTGTGAGTTCGGCCCCACGTTGGGTTTGTAGAGATTATTAAAAAAAAAAAACAAAAAAACTAGGGACGCCTGGGTGGCTCAGTCGGTTAAGCAACTGCCTTCGGCTCAGGTCATGATCCTGGAGTCCCTGGATCGAGTCCCGCATCGGGCTCCCTGCCCAGCAGGGAGTCTGCTTCTCCCTCTGACCCTCCCCCCTCTCATGTGCTCTCTCTCTCTCATTCTCGCTCTCTCAAATAAATCTTAAAAAAAAAAGATTTTATTTATGTATTTGAAAGAGAGAGAGCATGAGCAGGGGGCAGAGCAGAGGCAGAGGGAGAAGCAGGCTCCCCGCGGAGCAGGGAGCCCAATGCGGGACTCGATCCCAGGATTCTGGGATCATGACCTGAGCTGAAGGCAGATGCCCAACCGACTGAGCCACCCAGGCATCCCTGGGGACTTTTTTTTTTTTTATGATTTTATATTTAAGTAATCTCTACACCCAACGTGGGGCCCAGATTCACAACCCCAAGATCCAGAGTCACATGCTCTACCGACTGAGGCAGCCAGGCATCCCTGCTTTTTTCTGTTTTTAAAAACGAAAGTAAAACGATTAGCCATGTTCTGCTGACCCTTTTAACAAGGTCTCTGGTTAGGAAGTAGAGCGAGTGCAGGAAGGAACAGCTTCCTTTATGGAGCATCAGTTTCCCCAAAGGGGAGGCTGGGGCTTCTTGCTCACAAAGCTCACGTGATGGGGGACCCACTGGTAACTGCAGGTTCGTGTCATGGCCATAGTCCCCCCACTGGCAGCCGAGCCCGTGGGGCCGTGGAAGTCCCATGAGACCCCCTCTCAGCAGTGCCGTTGGTGGTACGAAGCACATTCACACTTCCGCACAGCCACCACCACTGTCCATCCCTGAGCTGAAACTCCCCTCCCCAGCCCCTGGTGCCCACTCTTCCACTTTCCCTCTCTGTGAATTTGAACACGCTAGGGACCTCATGTGAGTGGAATCACACAGTATTTGTGCTGTTCTTTTTTTTTTTTTTTTTTAAGTAAGCTCTACGCCCAACACGGGGCTTGAACTCAAGACCCTGAGATCAAGAGTTGCGTGCTCTTCTGACTGAGCCAGCCAGGCGCCCCCAGTATTTGTTCTTTCAGGGCTGGCTTATTTCACTTAGCATGATGTCCTCAGTTTACCTGTGCTCTAGCATGTGCAGACAGGTTTGTCTACGGATAAACCAGCCCCAGTCTCTGCTCTGGCACCTAAACCTCCGAGCCTCAGACATTCCGCTCCGAGTTCTGTGAGGACGGCACGGTCTTCGCTTCCTCATTTATTCAGCAAATGCTCAAGAGCACCTCCTGCATGCTGGGCCCTGTGCTCAGCCCTGGGAGCAGAGCAGTGGATGAGATCGCCCACGTGGTGGTGGGGACAGCCACCCTCCCTGCTGAGCAGTGCCCCTTCTTAGTCTTCAGGAAAGTCATTTCTTTCCTTTCATGCCATGGAAAATGAATTGATCAATCTTCCAAAAATGTTCAGGCTGTTTCAAGCTGCATTTGTAGCTACTCGGCTATTGATTTGCAGTGATGATTGTCTACTTTGTCCAGAGTCAGTCCTGGGGTGGAAAAGTACAGGAAGAGCCCCAGAGGGGGGGTGAGAGGGATGGATGAGGGGTCAGGAGCTTCCAGACGCGGTTTCTATCTAGGTATTTGGGGGTTATAAGCCCTGCCCCCACCCCAACACACACCCAAAGATGAATTTGCCATCAAAACAGATCCACGGTTTGGGGCAGAGTGGGAAGATGAATACAGGGCCAGAGCTGTAGGCAGTGGGCACTGGTTTGTGAAAGGTTAGTCCATTTGCCAGGAAAACCAGAGGGCAAACAAGATTTTTATTTTATTTATGTGTATATATATATATGTATTTATAGGATTTTATTTAGGATGCCTGGGTGGCTCAGTTGGTTAAGTGGCTGACACTTGATTTTGGCTCAGGTCATGATCACAGAGTCCTGGGATCAAGCCCCTTGTCAGGCTCCGAGCTCAGCAAGGAGTCTGCTGGAGACTATCTCCCTCTCCACTGCTCCTCCCCTGCTCACACTCTCACTCAGAACTCTCTCTCTTTCTCTCCCACAATAAATAAATATTGAGAGAGAGAGAGAGAGCATGCAGGGGGAGAGGGAGAGGGAGAATCTCCATCAGACTCCGCTAAGTGCAGAGCCCGATGTGGGTCTCCATCCTAGGACCTATGAGATCATGACCTGAGCTGAAACCAAATCAACTGACTGAGCCACCCAGGTGCCCCAAGGTTTTTATTTTAGAAAGCAGCACCCCAGTGTGTCCTCAGTGCCTCTGCAAGCCTGGCTTTGGTGCTCGGGATGTCCACTCTGGCAGGAACATGGCAGGACACCTCTCAGAGCCACCCGCACCGACCCAGCTCCTGCAGCGTGGACAGAAAGTGGGACCTCCTGTCAGCACAGGGTCCTGCTGCCTCTGGCTGCAACCTCCAGAATCTGACCATCTGGTCATGGAGGAGCCCAGCCCGAAGAACACGGCCCCTGTGGGGGCAGAGTTGTGTCCATTTTCGTCTCTGTCTCCCCTCCACCACCCGGGCCTCACCAAGCTGCCTGGTGCAGTGGACCTTGGCCATTTGATGTGCTCAACGAATGCAGTTGTGGCCCCTGGCCCTTTTACCAAATCATGGTAACAGGAAGCAAATGTTGATATCCGCCAGGCATGGTTCTCAGAGCTTTATTTACATGGATTCGGGGCATCCTCAGAATCCCTGCAGGCGTCCTGGGGGCCT